CCTCCAACTGATAAGGTTTTTCTTGAGGCATCCCCTAAAGGCATCTTACTTGCTGCAGCAGGTGAAAGCAGAGGCTCTGGCAAAGGAATAAAGGGCAAATGTGAATTCTGGCATCATGTGGGTGAGGGCATCTTCAGCACCACCAAAGCAATGCTCTAATGGAAGGATCCATTAAGCACCTGGCGATGGTAACATCTGAACTGGCCATAAAGGAGTCACCATCCACACGTGATCCACACCCAGCTTTCCACAGACACCCCCAAGCCCATTCTGCCCATGTCAAAAGATCTCCCTGCAAGTCCAAGGTCCAAAGCAGCCACTTCCCAAGCTGGAGGTGTTGTAAGCGAGGATTAACTCACAATAAACCCCTTCCTCTTGGCATGATGAGTACAGGGGCTCTCAGCTGCTCACCCACAGCACCCTCACCCAGGAGTGAATCCTTCTGCCCCTCTCAGACGAATCTCTGGGTGAAAGCTTGTGCTTGTGGCCCCTTCAGCACCCTCATCTCAAGCACTGATGCTCTGGGTGCACGTGCGGCTCGAGCTCTGAGGGCTACAGGCAAACAGTAACTCTGAGCCTGTGCACTCAGCTCTCCTGTTAGTATCATCTCAGTACTTGGATAACCCTGTTACAAACACCCCCTGGCTGGGGTAAGAACCCCACGTGTTAAACATCCATCACCTGAACGCCAGCAGCGACCCCAGAAACCGCGCGATGCAGGGAGCAAGGCAGGGAAAGAGGGAGAAAGGAAGGAAAGGAGGCGCTGCTGTGCCTTGGTAAATGCCAAACCCTGCTTTGAGGCGCTGAGGGTCGAGCCCTGCCCACCCCCAGGCACACACCAGCCCCAGAATGGGTCAATCTCACCACGCTGTCCCAATCCCATCTTTTAACTGCTGCGGGAGACAGGGAAAATCCACACCAGGATCCCCAATTTGTCTAAATGAAGCTAGAAAAGGCATCAAAATGAGACCCCAGACAGCCTCCAGCGCAGGCAGAGCACGGCAGACACATCCCTGCGGGCACAGGATCACTAAACGCAATCTCAATGCCAAATGCAGCCAGGCTCAGGGGAATGCTCTCTCCTATGGAGGTGGAGCAGGCCTGAAGGCAGCACAGCAGACAGCTGCAGTGGAAGCATCACCACTGAGGGCAGCAGGATGAACCCCGGCCAGGCAGCATTCCCTGCATGTGCAAACACACCGGGAGGTCCCTGCAACACCCAGCAGCAATATTGCAGTGCCCACCCGCGCTGCTCTGCACAGAAGGCAATCAAGGGAAAATTAATAGCAGCAACCTGCTGGATACCAGTGAACGGGATCTAATGAGAGGCAGGCTATGGAGAGGAATCACTGTTTGTACCGAGAGTGAATTAGCACAGAATGGCTTGTGCTGGAAGGGAGAATGAAGCTGGGGAGTGCTCAAGGGCAGGTTGGACACAGGGGCTTGGAGCAAGCTGCTCCAGTGGAAGGGGTCCCTGCCCGTGGCAGGGGTTGGGAATGGAGGAGTTTGAGGCCCCTTGAACCCAAACCATGCTGGGTTCCATGATTGAACCAGTGAGACTGAGGCAACTGAGAGATTACAGCAAGGAGCTGGAAAGGGACCAAACCCAGCACCCAAAGGCAGTACCTGTACTGGTGGCCACAGGGAGCTCCTCTTGCCCCTTTCAGAGGGGGGGTGCAGGAGAGCCCGGGGCTGGAGCTGCGGCCAGACAAATCCAGGCTAAAAATAACCAGCAGGGGGTGAAAACAATGAGAGAGAGTGAGCACATCCTGGGGGGCCTCAGCACCCGCACCCCTCTGCTCCAGGGCAGCCCTGGCTGGGGGGCATGAGCTGAGCTGGGCTGGGCTCAGGCTGCTGCTCTCATGGCTCTGAACCACACCGCACCCGGGTGCTCCAGGGCACCCAGGCCGGGGGGCATGAGCTGGGCTCAGGCTGCTGCTATCATGGCTCTGAACCACACCGCACCCAGGTGCTCCAGGGCAGCCCTGGCTGGGGGGATGAGCTGGGCTCAGGCTGCTGCTCTCATGGCTCTGAACCACACCGCACCCGGGTGCTCCAGGGCACCCAGGCGGGGGGGCATGAGCTGGGCTCAGGCTGCTGCTATCATAGCTCTGAACCACACCGCACCCGGGTGCTCCAGGGCAGCCCTGGCTGGGGGGGGGGATGAGCTGGGCTCAGGCTGCTGCTCTCATGGCTCTGAACCACACCGCACCCGGGTGCTCCAGGGCACCCAGGCCGGGGGGGGGGGGATGAGCTGGGCTCAGGCTGCTGCTCTCATAGCTCTGAACCACACCGCACCCAGTCTGGCTCTCTGGGCCCTGCCAAACGGCTCCGGTGCGTCTGAAGTGGAACCAAACTCAGACCTGATGGAGCACGAAGGGGTCAAAGCCACGTCTGGCTCTGAACAAGCCCAGGCCAGGAGAAGCTCTGGTTTTCCATGGACTGCTGCTCCCAGCTCTGAGCTTCCTGCTCGGGGGAGCCCTCAGAGCAGCTCCAGGGCCTAAAGCTGGAGAGGGGCTTGGGACAAGGGCCTGTAGGGCCAGGCCAAGGGGAATGGCTTGAACCTGCCCGAGGGGAGACTGAGCTGAGCTCTTAGGCAGAAGCTCTTCCCTGTGAGGGTGCTGAGGCGCTGGCACAGGGTGCCCAGAGAAGCTGTGGCTGCCCCATCCCTGCAGTGCTCAAGGCCAGGCTGGACACAGGGGCTTGGGACTGGATGAGCTTTAAGCTCCCTTCCAACACAAACCACTCTGGGATCCTATGATAAAGCCACCCCATTTCAAACTCTTACTTAAGAATCATCTTAGGAACCAGAAGCACACAATATCCTCACCAGCACACCATATCCTCACCAAATGGTGCTGATGCACACAATATCCTCACCAAATGGTGCTGATGCACACAATATCCTCACCAGCACACAATATCCTCACCAAATGACTCTGATGCACGCCCCGAGTGTGCACAGAATCAAAGCAATGGATCCCAAGAAGCCCACACTGCTGCACTCACACTTCCCTGCACATCCTGAACCATTCCAGGGACCAGTGACCGGTGCCATCACCTCTTTTCTCCCTAGCTCATGCCCTGCCACAAACCCAAACCCTTCCCTTCTGAAAACCTGCCCGAGATGGGGCATTGGAGCCCACCACACATCTCCCTCAGCTCCAATGAGCCCGTGCCAGCCTCACCCGTGTGCTGCTTCCAGGGCCCACGGAAGGAACACCAGCCGTGTGCTGAGGATCCTCCTGCATGGCCAAGAGCTCATGGCCAAGCGAGCGCAGGGGCAGGAGCAGCTTCAAGCTGTGGGAGCAGGGAGCAGCGAGCCCCAGGCAGGGCACGGGGCTGTTACACTGTGAGTTATCCACGTTCAGAGCAAGCAAACCCCTCAGTGCCCACGTCCATTCACACATCTGCAGCTCAGCCTGGGACCAGCCATCCCCTGCATGGCCCATGCGCTGCTCTGCAGGGTTCTGAAGCCAGAAGGAACCGAATACCCCAGCGAAGACACAACAAGAGCAGCCCAACCGCAGCGGGGGCTGTGAGAGACCAGGGCTCGGGGCTGCTCCCTGCTCTGCCTCTGCTCGGAGAGGAGCGAGCCAGCAGCTGAATCACCAGGGCTGCCACACTTCTGCAGGGCCTCCAAAAATAACTCCGCTGGAAATTCCTTGGAGGCATAAACCTTGCTTCAGCGGGGCTGCAGAGATCCAGTTTCCTTAATGGAGCGGACGGGATGTGAACCGGCCTCAGGAGTTAGGATCGCAAAGGAAGGATCCACAGAGCGGCTGCACCAGGGCAGTGGGCAGGGAAGGAATCCCCCCCCAAGCCAGCCACACAAAGCCCCGCGCCGCCGGGATGAAACAATCTGCCCTGCCAGGAATCAGACACCGCGTTCCCGATCGTTCTCCTGATACCACGTTCCAGGACTTGCCCTGTTCTCACCAACCAGCTCCACACACGAAGCCAAACTCCTGCTTAGCAACGGCGCTGCGGCCACTTTCATCCCGCACCTTCCACTGTAACCAAAGCCTTCCAGTCCGCAGCCCGGCTCGCACCCCATCGCCCTGCAGCACCCAGGGGCTGGAGATGCTCACCACCCGCCTTCACCACCCCAGACCTGCACATTACCCCTCGTGGAAGCCTGTGTCTGGATCCAGGCTGTGGATGGGGGGGTGGAAGCGTGAAGCAGCCCCGATGCTGGCAGCTCTGCTCGCTCAGCAGGGCCGGGCCGAGCGCTGCGGGTCAGAGACCGCTCCCTGTCCCCACCTGCATCGCTCGCAGCGCGCTCACCGGGCCCTGGCTCAGCCACAACCGCCGGTGCTGTGCAGGGAGCTCAGGGGTTGCCTCAACAGCCACGCTCAGAGCGGGTTTGAGGAGCAGGCTCCCACCTCTGACCTCGGGCCCGGCACAAGGACACGCAGCAGCACCGGTGCCCACGGGGCTGCCCCCAGTCCGCAGCCCTCCGCCGGGGCTGGCTCTGCTCTGCCGGCCCCGTGCCGCTGAAGCTCCGGGAACTGCACCCGAACCCGGCGGGGATGGGGCCTCTCCTTCCTTTTAGTGCGGGGATCTTGGGGTGCAGGGCAGGGAACAAGGGGAGGCTGGGCCCTGGCTCCCGGGGACCGCTCCTCAAGGCTGCAGGCGGGGAAGGATCAGCGCAAGGGGCGGGCCGGGGCTGCCGAAGCCTCGGGTCCTTACCCGAGGGGGAGCGGCCGGAGCCCGGGCGCACAAACCAACGGGGTTATTTTGGGAGCTGCGGGTTCGCGAACCCGGCCTCAGCAACCGGGACACCGGGGAAGGCGAGCGGGCACGGAGCAAGCTGCTCCAGTGCAAGGTGCCGGAGCTGGGGGAGCTTTAAGGTCCCTTCATCCCAGCCCAGGGAACGGAGCAGCAGCGCGGCTCAGCCGGGACCCCTCCATGGCGCCGGGTGATGCAGGACCCCCGGTGCCGCGGGGAGAAGGAAGGAGGAAGGGAGGGAGGGACGGGGGGGCCGGGCCGGGGCTCACCTGCGATGGCGCTCTCGTCCAGGTGGGAGCCGGGGGCCCGCTCCCCGCGGCCCTGCTGCAGGAGGAGGCCGCACAACACCCACAGGGCCACTCCCGACCGTACATCCATTTCCGCGTCGGCCTCGCCGCTTCCCCCGCCGCTGTCAGCTCCTCCTCGGCATCGGCCCCGCCGCCGGGCCCGCCCGCTCCGCTCCGCTCCGCACACCCGGGCTGGGCGCTCCGCAGCCGGCAGCAGCTGAAGGACCGAGCGTTATTCCCGGTGCTCCCGCACGGGCGCCGCTTCCCGCTACCCCGGCTCAGACAGGGACACCGCCAACGCCGCCGGCCCGGCGAGAGACACCGGATCCGCGCTGCACCCCCCCCCCCCCGCAGTGGTCCCTCCCTCACAGCCCTCCCCGCAGCAGTGGTCTCTCCCGGGAGAGCCCTGCTCCCCCTCCCCAGCGCTGCTCTCGTCCCGGGCAACCCCAACCCCGTCCCCGCTCACCCGCAGCTCTGCTCTCTACCGGGCCCCCTCCCCGGTAACCGCTCCCGGGCCAGCCCCGCAGTCCGGCCCCCCCCGCCCCCCGCCGCGGTGGTCTCGTCCAGGCCCCCCCCGCGCCCCGCTGCGCACCGGGCTCTGGCGCCGCCGCCGCGCGCTCGGTGACAGGAGGCGGAGCCAATCGCTGCCGGGAGAGACCCCCGGCGGGGCGGGGCCTCGCCCGGAGCCCAGCCAATCAGGGACGGGCAGCTGGCCACGCCCTCCCCGCTTCCTTCCCCCTCCTCCTCATCCGCCTCCGCCGGGCTCCCCTCTCCCGCCGCTGGGCCGCAGCGACCCCCGGTGGGCGCAGGCGGGAAGTGCAGGCGCTGCGAGGGGGCTGAGCAGGGGCGGCTGCGGGGGATGCCTGCATGGGGCGGGAGCCGCTCCCAAACCCCGGGGAGGCTTCGCAGAGCCCCCGGCCCGGGGGAGCAGCCCGGGCCAGCAGCGCAGCCGGACACATCGGAGCCCTGCGGCGAGGTCAGAGCAGCCGGCTTGGCAGAGCGCCACAGCACACCAGAGCACGCCAGTCTGTTACAGCATCCTGGCCCATCAGAGCACCCCAGCTCGTCACAGCATCCTGGCCCATCAGAGCACCCCAACACACCAGAGCACCCCAGCTCGTCACAGCATCCTGGCCCATCAGAGCACCCCAACACACCAGAGCACCCCAGCTCGTCACAGCATCCTGGCCCATCAGAGCACCCCAACACACCAGAGCACCCCAGCTCGTCACAGCATCCTGGCTCATCAGAGCACCCCAACACACCAGAGCACGCCAGTCTGTTACAGCATCCTGGCCCATCAGAGCACCCCAACACAGCAGAGCACCCCAGCTCGTCACAGCATCCTGGCCCATCAGAGCACCCCAACACATCAGAGCACCCCAGCTCGTCACAGCATCCTGGCTCATCAGAGCACCCCAACACATCAGAGCACCCCAGCTCGTCACAGCATCCTGGCCCATCAGAGCACACCAGAGCACCCCAGCTCGTCACAGCATCCTGGCCCATCAGAGCACCCCAGCTCGTCACAGCATCCTGGTTCATCAGAGCACCCCAACACACCAGAGCACACCAGTCTGTTACAGCATCCTGGTTCATCAGAGCACCCCAACACACCAGAGCACCCCAGCTCGTCACAGCATCCTGGCCCATCAGAGCACCCCAACACACCAGAGCACCCCAGCTCGTCACAGCATCCTGGCTCATCAGAGCACCCCAACACATCAGAGCACCCCAGCTCGTCACAGCATCCTGGTTCATCAGAGCACCCCAACACACCAGAGCACCCCAGCTCGTCACAGCATCCTGGCTCATCAGAGCACCCCAACACATCAGAGCACCCCAGCTCGTCACAGCATCCTGGTTCATCAGAGCACCCCAACACACCAGAGCACCCCAGCTCGTCACAGCATCCTGGCCCATCAGAGCACCCCAACACATCAGAGCATCCCAGCTCGTCACAGCATCCTGGTTCATCAGAGCACCCTGGTTTACTAGAACACCCCAGCACATCGGAGCACCCCAGCTCATCAGAGCACCCCAACACATCAAAACACCACAGCTCATGGGAGCACCCCAGTTTATTAGAGCACCCAAGCTCATTAGAGCATCCCAAAACATTCTGACCATCCCAACACATCGCAGCACCCCAGCTCCTCAGAGCACCCCGAGTCATCAGAGCATTCCACCTCCTTAGAGCACCCCAGTTCATCAGAGCTCCCCGAGTCATCAGAGCATTCCACCTCCTTAGAGCACCCCAGCTCCTCAGAGCACCCCGAGTCATCAGAGCATTCCACCTCCTTAGAGCACCCCAGCTCCTCAGAGCACCCCGAGTCATCAGAGCATTCCACCTCCTTAGAGCACCCCAGTTCATCAGAGCACCCCCGAGTCATCAGAGCATTCCCCCTCCTTAGAGCACCCCAGTTCATCAGAGCTCCCCGAGTCATCAGAGCATTCCCCCTCCTTAGAGCACCCCAGCTCCTCAGAGCACCCCCGAGTCATCAGAGCATTCCACCTCCTTAGGGCACCCCAGCTCCTCAGAGCACCCCGAGTCATCAGAGCATTCCACCTCCTTAGAGCACCCCAGCTCCTCAGAGCTCCCCGAGTCATCAGAGCATTCCCCCTCCTTAGAGCACCCCAGTTCATCAGAGCTCCCCGAGTCATCAGAGCATTCCACCTCCTTAGAGCACCCCAGTTCATCAGAGCACCCCCGAGTCATCAGAGCATTCCACCTCCTTAGAGCACCCCAGCTCCTCAGAGCACCCCGAGTCATCAGAGCATTCCACCTCCTTAGAGCACCCCAGTTCATCAGAGCTCCCCGAGTCATCAGAGCATTCCACCTCCTTAGAGCACCCCAGTTCATCAGAGCACCCCGAGTCATCAGAGCATTCCACCTCCTTAGAGCACCCCAGTTCATCAGAGCACCCCGAGTCATCAGAGCATTCCACCTCCTTAGAGCACCCCAGCTCCTCAGAGCACCCCCGAGTCATCAGAGCATTCCCCCTCCTTAGAGCACCCCAGCTCCTCAGAGCACCCCCGAGTCATCAGAGCATTCCACCTCCTTAGGGCACCCCAGTTCATCAGAGCACCCCCGAGTCATCAGAGCATTCCAGCTCCTTAGAGCACCCCAGCTCCTCAGAGCTCCCCGAGTCATCAGAGCATTCCCCCTCCTTAGAGCACCCCACCAACCCCACACAACCCCCAACACCCACCAACCCCCCAAGTCATCAGAGCATTCCACCTCCTTAGAGCACCCCAGTTCATCAGAGCACCCCGAGTCATCAGAGCATTCCACCTCCTTAGAGCACCCCAGTTCCTCAGAGCACCCCGAGTCATCAGAGCATTCCACCTCCTTAGGGCACCCCAGCTCCTCAGAGCTCCCCGAGTCATCAGAGCATTCCACCTCCTTAGAGCACCCCAGTTCATCAGAGCTCCCCGAGTCATCAGAGCATTCCACCTCCTTAGAGCACCCCAGCTCCTCAGAGCACCCCGAGTCATCAGAGCATTCCACCTCCTTAGAGCACCCCAGTTCATCAGAGCTCCCCGAGTCATCAGAGCATTCCACCTCCTTAGAGCACCCCAGTTCATCAGAGCACCCCGAGTCATCAGAGCATTCCACCTCCTTAGAGCACCCCAGTTCCTCAGAGCACCCCGAGTCATCAGAGCATTCCACCTCCTTAGAGCACCCCAGCTCCTCAGAGCTCCCCGAGTCATCAGAGCATTCCCCCTCCTTAGAGCACCCCAGTTCATCAGAGCTCCCCGAGTCATCAGAGCGTTCCACATCCTTAGAGCACCCCAGCTCCTCAGAGCACCCCGAGTCATCAGAGCATTCCACCTCCTTAGAGCACCCCAGTTCATCAGAGCTCCCCGAGTCATCAGAGCATTCCACCTCCTTAGAGCACCCCAGTTCATCAGAGCTCCCCGAGTCATCAGAGCATTCCCCCTCCTTAGAGCACCCCAGCTCCTCAGAGCACCCCGAGTCATCAAGCATTCCACCTCAGGCACCCCAGTTCATCAGAGCACCCCGAGTCATCAGAGCATTCCCCCTCCTTAGAGCACCCCAGCTCCTCAGAGCACCCCCGAGTCATCAGAGCATTCCACCTCCTTAGAGCACCCCAGTTCCTCAGAGCACCCCGAGTCATCAGAGCATTCCCCCTCCTTAGAGCACCCCAGCTCCTCAGAGCTCCCCGAGTCATCAGAGCATTCCACCTCCTTAGAGCACCCCAGTTCATCAGAGCACCCCCGAGTCATCAGAGCATTCCCCCTCCTTAGAGCACCCCAGTTCCTCAGAGCACCCCCGAGATGCAGCATCCTGCCAGGGCCGCATGCTCCTGGTGGCACCGCCGCTGGGCACCATTGACGCGGTGGCATCAGCAGCACTGGGCACAGGAAGGTCAGGGACGGGAGGGTTCACGCGTCCTCCCTCGGCCCCGGAGCTGGCAGCGGAGCTCCCTGCAGGGACCGGATCCGGCCCCAGGGCAGCTCCGTGGCTGCTGGTCCGGAAGCGCAGCCCCGTCCCGTCCCGTCCCGTCCCGCTCCAGCCCCGCTGCCCCGAGAGGTGGCACCGCTGTCCCCAGGCGGGCGCTGTCAGCCCCAGGGCGCGGGATGGGGGCACCGGTACCCATGGGGACTGCCAGCCATGGGGGGTGCCCGGGATGGGAACCAGGGCTGGGAACGGCGGGGACCGGGCAGCGCCCGGAGGCACAGGCAGCATCCGGACTCATGACCGGACATAGGGGAGCTGCCCCATGGGCTCCTCTGTGCTGGAGGGGGCACATCCCGCGTGAGGGCAGGAGGTCCCTGGGGCTCCGGCAGGGATGAAGGTCCCTGAGGATCCCACTCGCCTCCATCCCGGGGCTACCGCATCTCTCCCATGAGACCCTCCTGCCCTAGGGCAGGGAGCTGGGCACTGTCATGGGGCTGTGGGTGCTGCCCTGGGGGCCCTTATGGGAGCCCCCATCCTGGGGTACCCAGCCCTTACAAACCCCCCCCATCCTGGGGTACCCAGCCCTTACAAACCCCCCCCATCCTGGGGTACCCAGCCCTTACAAACACCTCCCATCCTGGGGTACCCAGCCCTTACAAACCCCCCCCATCCTGGGGTACCCAGCCCTTACAAACCCCCCCCATCCTGGGGTACCCAGCCCTTACAAACCCCCCCCCCCCATCTTGGTGTCCTGGCCCTTGTGGGACACCCCCACAGCACCTGGGGCCCGCTGGCCCTCACCCAGCAGGACAAGCCCATGCTCTGGGGCTGCTCCCCCCCCCGGTTCTGCTCCCTCCTCTCCCATCCATGGCCCCCTCCCCACAGACCCCCAGGGCAGCGGCTGCCACT